TAAGAGTGTCCAACAACTGTTTGTGGGTTGGTTCATATGTCTTAATGGTTTTTTTTTGTTCTTTCAAATTTCATAATCTCCATCAGCCTTTTCAAGTTTTCCAATACTTTCTTCTTCCAATTTATATCTACTATTGAACTACTTTAGTTAGGATTTTCATTTGTTTTTGTTTTTGTTTTCAGTTGTAGAATTTCTGTTTGACTCTTATTTTAATATTTGTTTTTAATGATAGTCTGTATTCGAAAAAGGCTTTGTCACCACAACTTAAAGCTTCATTTTCTTAAAACATAATATCTGTTTTGCAGTCTTTGTTAAGTTTGTCATCTGGATTCTTTCATAGGCAGTTTTGGTTGCCTAGTCTTGTCTATATTTACATTTTTTATTTCTTTGCCTGTCTCATAACTTTTGGTTGAAAACTGAACATTTTAGATTATAAATTAAACAAACCAGTATACTGCACCTCCACCCAGGATTTTTGTTGCTCATTTATTTATTAATTTAATGATTTGGCTCATTTATTTTAGTGAAATGTATATTTCCCGAACTGTGCAGCTTCTGAGAGTGCTCACTAGAGGGTTCATGTTTGGCCATGTGCATTTACTCCAGGGATTAGCAGGGCCTTCTTTGTCTTTTTTTTTTTTTTCCCTGATTTCTCTGTTAAATTCTCTGTACTCCTCTGTTACCATACCCAGAGTAAGCCTCCACTAATTGCCACTCTATTGCACAATTTTTTCTGACATTGTTGTGGGACATAAATTGCTCTATAGTTTGGTACATTCTAAATTGGGCCCCATTACTAAGTAACTTTGAAGCCAGTCTTTGCAGTTTGTTCTGACCCTGGAAGTGCTCTTCTTAGCTATCTCTTTCCCTGATTCTTTTTGGTAAACTTCAAACTAGTCAACTGTTTCCTTTCTCTTCTAATAGAGCCACCAGCCTCCTCTTAATTGCACAATTTCATTGTTTTAATATTGCTCTTAGGCTTGAACTTCCCCTGATACTCTGTTCCATAAAATCAGTTCTCTTTGTAAGGTCAGAGTGGCTCCAGATATGCTGTATTTATTCCTGAGTAGAACCCTTGTGCCACTTGTGTAGAGCAGGGGGAGGGTCAGTGGCATAGTTCTCTCAGTAACACCTTTCTTTCATAAGCAAGGTGCTGAACTGTGACAATTCCACATGACTCTCCACCCCACAAGTGAGTTGTGGTAAGAGCAATCAAAGTTTCTGAATTCTTTTTTTTTCTTTTAAATGTATTTATTTATTTATTTATTTGCATTACAATTATTAATACACCATTATACAATAATTTATCATATCTCTGATTATATATAAGGTATGTTGACACCAAATTCACATCTTTATACATGTATTTTGTATAATGATGAGGGTCTCCTTTCACCATGCATGCTGTTCCCCTTCTCCCTTCCTTTCCCTCCCACCCCTATTCCCTATCTAGAGGTAATCTTCCTCCCTTGCTCTCCCTCCCAACCCCATTTTGAGTCACCACCCCTTATATCAGAGAAGACATTCAGCATTTGTTTTTTTTTGGATTGGCTAAGTTCACTTAGCATAATTTTCTCTAATGCCATCCATTTTCCTGCAAATGCAATGATCTTATTCTTTTTTATTGCTGAGTAATATTCCATTGTGTATATATGCCACATTTTTTTGTCCATTCATCCATTGAAGGACATCTAAGTTGGCTCCACAGTTTAGCTATTGTGAATTGTGCTGCTTTAAACATTGATGTGGCTGTGTCCCTGTAATATGCTGTTTTTAGGTCCTTTGGGTATATTCAGAGAAGAGGAATAGGTGGGTCAAATGGTGGTTCCATTCCCAGTTTTCCAAGGAATTTCCATACTGCTTTCAAATTGGCTGCACCAATTTGCAGTCCCACCAGCAGTGTATGAGTGTACCTTTTTCCCCACATCCTCACCAGCACTTGTTTTTGTTTGTCTTCATAATGGCTGCCACTCTTAGTGGAGTGAGATTATATCTTAGAGTAGTTTTAATTTGCATTTCTCTGATTGCTAGAGATGATGAGCATTTTTTTGTATATTTGTTGATTGATTCTATATCCTCTTCTGAGAAGTGTCTGCTCAGGTCCTTGGCCCATTTATTGATTGGATTATTTGTTTTTGTGGTGCTTATCTTGTTGAGCTCTTTATATACCCTAGAGATTAGAGCTCTATCTGATGTGTGAGGGGTAAAAATTTATTCCCAGGATATAGGCTCCCTATTCACCTCACATATTATTTCTTTTGCTGAGAAAAAACTTTTTAGTTTGAATCCATCCCATGTGTTGATTCTTGATTTTAATTCTTGTGCTATAGGTATCTTATTAAGGAAGTTGGTGCCTAGCCCCATGTGATGGAGATTAGGGCCTACTTTTTCTTTTATTAGATGCAGAGTCTCTGGTTTAATCCCTAGATCCTTGATCCATTTTGAGTTAACTTTTGTGCATGGTGAGAGATAGGGATTCAATTTCATTTTGTTGCATATGGATTTCCAGTTTCTGTGTTCTGTAGGTATTGCACCTAGGTTAGAGCTTTTGTCCTGAGTGGGAACTGAAGTGGGGAAAGAAAGTTTCAGACATCAGCCATTCTTGCCTGGCTGGGATAATACCTCTGAAATATGGAACTAGGGCAAAGATGTGATAAATGTGGTGCCTTTCTCTTTTAGGTGAGATACTTGAGCTTCCTGAGGGAAGAGGGATTCTGTGTTCCAGCATGTACCTATTCACAGTAGAACTTCTGTTATGCTGAACTGGGATGAAAAGAAAGAAGGGAAGAATAGAGAGCAAGTTGTGGTTTAAATGGTACAGATTCTCATTGTTATGAGACTCGATATATTTTTTGAAAATATTAAGAAAATGAAAATATTAAATTAATGGGAATAGATTTTCTTGAATAAATATTTATTCCTTTTGCAGCACTTTCTTTGGAGAATTTCCAGACATCTTTAAATTAAAAAAAAATAATAATTTGCACTGGTTATGGTTGTTTCATCAAGGACAGTTTCCACAGAATTATTTATATCTCCATTCCAGAACTCCTTTTCCCATTGTGATCTTTTTCAAAGCCACTTTTCTATTTAAAGTTCTGCAATGATTTCCCATCTCAGTGACTTTCCTTCTGTTCTTCAAACATGCATGTGCAGTCTTGCCTCACCAAGGATACTCCTTCCCAGACTTTTGCACTAGATGTTTGCTCTAGATAGAATGTTTCCCTGAGATGCTATTGTCTCTTCTTAGCTATATTATCTCAGATTAGCCTATGTAAAAAGTAATTCACTTAATATATATTTAATGTTTTATTTCTTCATGATCTGTCTCTACTTATTAGTTTTCTTTACAAAGTACATTTTGGACACTTGCAGGATACTGGAGCTCCAGTGGCACAATCAGTTAGTACCCAGTACTTATAAGACATTTGCAGGATACTATTTTTTGCTTGAAAATCCATTATTTTCTTTCCTTTTGTCAGTTGAATGAACTGTAGATATTATCTTAAAAGTTTCTCTAGTGTTACATGTGTTTATCTGATTACATTTTTGTTACATTTGCAAGTGAGCAGGGGTAAAGAGTACAATTTCTGCTTTACTTGCTTAAATGGTTATTATGTTTCACTTGTTTTTATGTGTTCCCTTTGTATTGAGCTGGAATACCAATGACAGTGTCCTTGAATGAGTTTATGAGATTGAATGAGTTCATGAGACCGGGCTACCCCATAAACCTATACAGTTCATGAGAGAAGTAAACTTCTGTTTTGTTTAAATCATTAAAAATTTTATTCTCTTAATACATCTTACCCTATTTTCTGGGTCACCAATGGAAGTAGTTTGAATTAAGAAATGGTGCCCACTTAAGACATATGAGAAGTAGGACTTGCTTCTCTTAGGTAATTTTTGTTGTACTTCTGCTATTAAGGAATAATGGTAAATTAATTTTAAAAAGGAATAATGGTAACAATAAATTTACCTGGTTCATCATTTGAATTTACATAACTTTGCTGTTTTGTCACATTGAGTGGATGTTATTGATATTTGGTAAGCTGTTTCTATGGTATGGGTGTGGTTTAAGTTGATCCTTTCTTACAAAGACTGTTAAATAAAGATTCCTGAAAAAAATTTTGTCTAATGCTTTTTCTGCATCTATTTATATAACCTTACATTTTTTCTCCATCAATTTGTTGATACAATGAGTTATGAAATGCATGAGCACAGTGTTCTTATACTTTGCTTACTTTCATGGATTCTTTTTTCTAATATTCAAAAATTTTGCACCTGTATTCAAAGATGAGTCATTCTGTGTGTTTCTTTCTGTTGCCTTACTTGACTAGGCACTAGTTCTAGTGAAATATTCATTGTGATGAGAGGGAATATCCCTCCTTTGTTTTTGATCTTAGAGGGTAAAACATTCAGTTTTTACCATTAAGTATGGTTTTAGTTTGTAAATTTTATTCATTGGGTAATATTTTGGACACATTGTGGTAAAGTATAGTATCAAAATTAACCTCACTTATTTATTTTTATTGTTTTTTAGGCTGTACAGCAGTAAATTTAGAATTACATTGTGTTGGCTAGTACAGATCAAGAGTACTAGTATGTATAATGTAGTACAAATATAATTTTTGTGATGTAGTAAGTACTTACAGCACTTCTTTACTGGAGAAGAAAAATCCAACTTCACACTTAGTGTCTTATATTCCTATTGATAGTTTAGTTGTGTTCTTCCTGCCATTATATTTTAAAAATCATAGACTTATATAAGTACAAAATCATTTGTACATTCATAGTAGCAGAAATTTCTCATACACATTCATCCCTTGATGAATATTGACAAACACATCCTCAGTCCCTACATAGAATGATATAGTATTAAGGAAAAACAAATATTTCATTGAATTTATCAGCATACTATCTAAGATGTAGTAAATTTATGGGTAATTTTTACCTTTTTTCTGGCAAAAACCTAATGGATTTTTTTCTTCCTTTATAATAAGTCCTTTCTTCTTGTGTAAAAGACACCGAGAAAAAATTTTTAGAGACTATGAGGCAAAATGGGTTTACATAACCAAAGGATCTGAGGACGGGTTTCCAAAGGATATAATTTTCAAGGATGAAACTAATATAAAAGAAGAATTTACCCATTGGAAACATGTAAGTATAGTTAGTTTATTATTTTGAGATATTTTTCCTTATGATAGTAGAGTCCTAAATTATGAAGCATTAGTAAAAATTTCTTGAATCTTAAATATCTTCCATTATATTGTTAATATTATTATTTATACTATGAGAAAATTCATATAATTAATTACTACATTATAATATACTACATTAATAACATCATCATTATTTAATAATATGTGCTTTAATATATTAATCTATTTAATTATTGAAATAATAATAGTGACATAAAACTCAGATGAAAGCAAAAAAGAAATGTTTAGGTTATTAAAGTATAGTATATTCATTTAATGTTTTATAATAAATCACAACTTGCTTTGAGGTTAAATGGAAATAGTTAGAAATTTACTTACATTAGTTGAATGCCTACTATGTACAAGGAACTGTGCTAAAAGGTCTTGTGCATGTGGTGTGCAGTTTATTATCCACAACAATGTGATATATTTTTATCTAATCTTATGAATAAAGAAACTAAAGCTCAGCAATGTCAATTGACTTTTAAAAAGTCACAGTTAAGTGATATAGCTTGCTTTTGACTACAAGTCTTTGACACCAAAGTTTGTGCTTGTCTCTCTTTAGGACTTCGTTTTGATTTGGACTTTAGGTAATGGTAGAAATGAAGACTCAACATTATAGAGGAATTAACTAGAGTAAATTTTTTTTATACTTTCCTTTTTTTTTTTTTTTTTGGTACCGGGGATTGAACCCAGGGTACTTAACCAATGAGCCATATTAACAACCCTTTTTATTTTTTATTTTGAGACAGGATCTTGATAAGTTGCTTAGGCCTCGCTAAATTGCTGAGGCTGGCTTAGAACTTGTGATCCTCCTGCGTCAGCCTCCTGAACCATGGGTATTATAGGCATGGGCCACCACACCCAGCTAATTTTTAAATTTCTAGTGTGTTTGTGATAAAGTCCTTCATACATGGACTTATTCCTGAGTAGAGGGAGATTACAAATATTTCCATTACATTACCATCATAAAAAGTGACTGCAAAATGTCCAGAATACCAATACTTTAATTTCAAATAAATAAGAACTTGTATTTTAGATGTATAGCACAGGAATGTTCATAAATCCTTAAATCTCTTAAAAGTTATCCTTTCATTAATAACACAAGTTCAAAAGGCAAATATATTTCAATAAAACCCTTTTTCACATTGGTACTCAGTGGCAATGGTATTACTTTACTCCAGTTGATAGTATACTCTGTGAAATTGTAAAGTTCATATTAAGTTTCTTATGCCCCTCCCTGTAAAATAGAAGCTCATTATTTCAGAGCATGCTACTTGATTTTTTTGCATGCTTTATACACAGGAGTGTTCTCTCCTTGAAAATATTATTGATATTTCATAACTGATTTTGAGCTATGTTTCACACAGAACACTTACATATCTGCATTCCTTGGTCTTCTGGAACGTGTTAGGAAACACTGGCAGAGTAGTCCTAGACCTTTGATAAGCATACAACTTGAAAGTAATCATTTGTTCTGTGTGTAAAGGCACTGTGTCTATGAACTGTATCAATATTCTTGCCTGAATTCAGCATGGAGAGGGTAGAAAACTACCTGATCCTCTTTAACTTAGTTCCCATCAGTACTCAATGTTTTTCTCTTTTTTGGTGCAACTAACTGGAAGGGGATGGCTAATTTTATATCAAGTAAACAAATGGCTCACATAAATACATTTTTATTCTTATTTACCTCATTTTCCAGACTTCATACCCTAAACTCACTCTTTCTTATTTAAAGACAGATTTTCTGGCATTCTGATGGTCTTCATTCTATACTTCTGAAACCATGCACTTATTACATATTTCCAGATATTTCTCATTTTTATTCCCCTTATCCATCAATAGAAATGAACTAAATTTGTTATAGGCTCTTTTTCTAATAAACCCTTTCCTATTACTATATTGTTTACTTCCACTATTACCCAACAATTAATTGTCCATTTAAAATCTCAGGGGTCATTTTCTTTTCCCTCTTTTTTCACAGTTCAATTTTTAAATAGTTCTAAGATTTAAATAAGTATTTCTAAAACTTAAATATATTTGATTATATACTTCCTTTGGAAATGACTAAACTAACAAACCAAATGATTTTTACCAGGAGCATGAAGATTAAACTCATAGCATACTTAACACTAGTGAAGGTAATTTTTTTGTATTGCTCATTTTTATTTCTTCCTTTGTGATTAGTCTTTGTTTCTTCATTCATTTATAAACTTTTTTTCATTGGTCTATTAATGTGGAGTTGCTATGTAGGGTTTTATTCCACTTAATTTGGAAAGGATAATTTCAGCTAAATTTGTCTTCATCGTAGGTGTCTTTTGCTATTCAGAAAATTTTAATTTTAATAAGATCAAGTCACTGAGTATGTTGGTTTCTTTATTTTATATAATGATTTTAAAAGTCCTTCCTAACCTTAGGATTAGTAAAAGATGAAGTCTTTTATTCTAACACTTTTCTGTTTTTATTTTTAATTTTAAATCCTTATTCTATTTGAAAGTTATTTTAATTTTGGATTGTGCTAAGGATAAAACTGTATATTTTTGTATACAGTAATTACATTATGCCAACATCACTTGTTCTTCCATGTATTTTAAATAATACCTTTATCACTTAAGATATTCTTATATTTAGTTGAAAACAGCATCATTTTAATATTCTAGTTTTATGATGTTAATTTTTGATAAGGCTAGTCACTTCATTATTATTGGCTACTCTTGTACTCTATACCTTCAAATAAAATTTAAATTCAATTAGTATAATAAATATTTGAATTTTAGTGGCATTATGTTTAAAAACTTCATGTAATAATAATGACAAATTGGATCATCTAAATAAGAATAACGATATATATGTACTTCCATTCACTGATTTATTCTTTGGATTTCACTATGATGTCTAGTATGATTGACATAGTGTCTGTATATATAGTATTACTACAAATGATTTTGATCTTTGTTGAGAATTTAAAATATTTTGAATTAAAATTTCAGGCTAGTTTTTTAATGAAAAAGTATATCAGCTTTTCTAATTGGTAACTTATGAATAAAATTATTTTCAGTTGATTCTGCTCTATTTTCAAAGTATGCATTAGAAAGTGAATATTTTTCTCTTCCTTTTCCAAAATCATACTTTCTTTTTAAAAAAGTTGGTTCTTTTTAGAGGTACATGACAGTAGAGTATATTTTGACATATTTTACATACATGGAATATAACTTACACTAATTAGGATCCCATTCTGGTGGTTGTACATGATGTGAAGTTTCACTGCTTGTGTATCCATACAGAAACAAAGGAAAATTAAGTCTGATTCATTCTACTGTCTTTCCTATTCCCATCCTACCTTCCTTGTCTTCATTCCCCTTTGTCTAATACAATAAACTTCTATTCTTCCCTCCCCCACACTTATTATATGTTAGCATCCATGTATCACAGAGAACATGTGGCCTTGGGTTTTTTGAAATGGGCTCATTTCACTTAGCATTTTGGTACTGAAAATCTCCGGTACCATCCGTTTACAAATAAATGTCATAGTTTTATTCTTTATGGCTAAGTAATATTTCGTTGTGTGTATGTACCACATTTTGTTTATCCATTCATCTGTTGAAGGGAACTTAGGCTGGTTCCTTAGAGAGCTATTGTGAATGGAGCTACTATAAATATTGATGTGGCTGAGGCACTGTAGTATGCTGATTTTAAGTCCTTTGGGTGGAGTGGGATAACTGGCCAAGGAGTGGGATAACTGGCTCAAATGGTGGTTTCATTCCAAGTTCTCTAAGTAATATCCATACTGCTTTCCAGAGTGGTTGCAACAATTGGTAGTCCCATCAGCAATGTATGAGTGAATCTTTTCCCCTACATCCTCACTAACATTTATTATTACTTGTATTCTTGATAATTGCCATTCTCATTTTCTCATGAGCATGTCATGAAGTTTTTCTAGAGACTACATGATATGTGATATAAGAGATTGAGCACATATACAGATATGAAAATATCTGTCATTTATTAAACTAGACACTAAATAGATTCTGAAAAATGTAGAATAATCCCACCACTCTTCTCATTGTTTTTGAAATGTTGTTATTTTATAAAGATGCAATTTATGTGAATATCGAATGCATTTATTATTGTTATTTAAAATAAATTAATAAATATTTAAAACATTTTATATTTTAAATTTCCAATATGATTCATATTGAAATAATAAAACACACAATGTTTTGTAGCCTTTCAACTCTTGAGAGAATAGAGGAGTCTGGTGACCAAAAATTTTGAGAACTTCTACTAAACCTCTACTCCACTAGCTACTATCTTTTTAAATGTAACTCATAACTCTATAATGATAAAGCAACAGTTAAATTAGGTATAGTTTGTACAAATATATCAGTTAAAGATAATGACCTAAATGTACTTGTATATTTTTTATTTGCTGTGCCTCATGTAACTCTGGTGTATTTATACATGGCTACATTTTACTGTACAAAAATATTCAATGTTGAATATGCTGTCTACACAAAGAAGAGTCCTTTTTCATTGGCTAGGAGACCTGTGTTTGGTGTCAGTTGCTCATGAAATGCATATGGCCATCATGCATTTAACAAGTATCTTCTATTTCTCTTAGTTAAAATACTTCACAATAATACACCTTTAAATAATTGCACCAATGTTATATTTTAAAGACAGAACTCTGTTATACATGTCATGGATATATATCTAAAAATAACTGAAAATAAAAATGAATAGTTCTGTTAGAAATACAAAAGAAATGGGAGTGCATTGATTAGGACTGGGAATTATTACCCTGATTGGTATTGATTTACACAAAACAGATTGTTTTTCTCTCTTTTATAAAAGGAGATAAATAATGCTTACCAGTATAGCAACTATTCATCATAATGTTGTCAGAGTTCTTCACTCTTTCTGCTATTGAATCAAGATGTTGAGAAGGCTGTCCTTCCA